TATATCTTTTTTTTCATCTTAAAATAAGTATATAATGTTTTTTTTAAATGTTAATAAAATATGTTAAAATTAATAATAGATAAAAAATATCCCATTTTTAGTTTTATCCACATTTTTCATTCATATTGAAATAGTAACGATTTATTATATATATAATATATATATATATATATATATATATATATATATATATATATTATATTTAATATATAAATTTTATATTATTCATAACATGAGGGTGTTTGGGGACCAAAATAAAAACAGTGTATACCAGAAATATGATCTTGTGGCACGTGGATGGTTTAATATTTGAATAGACCAATGGACATTCAAATAATTTGATTTAGGTGTATGATGGAAAAGTGTTATTGACTCACAATATCATCTGAAAACAAGAAGGGTTGTGAAAAAAATGTATATATATATATATATAAATATATATATATATATTTTCATTTTTGTGTGTGTGTGTGTGTTTAAATGTTTTTTAAATTATTATGTTTTATTTGGAAAACCATTTAAATTCAATTCGGCTTGCAAAGGTTTTAATATCTTTATTATTAATAATAATTTTTAAAAATAAAATTTATGTATTTTAAACACACACACAATTTTTTATATATTTATATTATATATATATTTATATATATATATATTAAAAATAATTAAATTAAAAAAAAGGAAAATTTTATTAGGTTAATACAATTGAAATTATTTTTAGTATTTTTTGTTTTTATTTAAAAAAAAGTATTTTTAACATCAAAAAGAGCCTATTATTATAATAATTAAAAAAACATATATCTTTTAAAAACTGTTATTTGAATGAATTCAAATTTAAGATTAAAAATTTGTAAATTATTAAAAATTTAATGTTAAAATCAAAATAATTATAAGGAAGGAACTTTTATTAAAAAAAATTTATCCTTATAATTTTTTTCCATTTTTTTCAATGTTTAACGAATTTTTGAATTTGTTTTCTTGTTTTGGGAATTTGATTTTAAAGAAATTTAAAATTTAATTTTTTCCATTATTTTTATTTCTATAATTTTTTAAAAAAATAAAGGTTCATTTCCTGAATTTAAACAAATAAAAAAATTGTTTTTCAAAATATATTCATATCTAAAAAATACGAAAATATACATATTTATTTAATAAAAAATATATATATATTTATAAATATATCTTATATATATAAATAAAAAATATTATAATAATACAATATAAAACACATACAAAATATTATTTTTACAAATATAATATAATTTTATATAATATTATATATATATTATATAAAATGGAATAAAAAAAAACATATTATATAAATTAAAAAAAATTAAAGTACAAATAGAATAAAAATGATAAAAGAAAGCATTTTTATTAATTTGATAAACGTTAAAAACAAATAGTTAATAATAAATTAGGACAAAAATTTATTTTTATTTTTGAAAAAAAATTTAAATACCGATAAAAACTTAGCAATATTTTAATAAAAAACCTTAAAAATAAAGTTACACAAAAACTTTGGAAATATATATATATAGGATCCACGAAGAGAGAATTTCATAAGCTGGAGATTTCTAAAAATATATATCATAATATTAGAAAAAGAAATCAGACATATTATAGATAAATATTTTTTTATTTAATTTGATTCCTAAAAACATTCAGATTTTTTAAAAATAAAAAATAATAAATAGAAAAAGATATATTAAACCTGGGATTTGAATAATGCCCTTTTGCATAATGTGTGAATTTAAATTCTGATTATTAATTTAAAAAAACGAAAATTTTTAAATCAAAGTTTAAATGAGATTTTTTTTTGCCGACATTGTTTGGAAAATTCACCTTAAATAATTATGTTAAAAATTTTAAAATTTCAAAATCTATTTAAAGAAGTTCAATTAGTTCCAATAGGTAACATTTTTTAACTTAATCATAATGTAAAAAAACAAAAAAAAAGAACAAATTTAGTTCAATATGACGTATTCATATACAAACAATATTTTTTAAAAAAAAAAATCTTTATGTATACAAATACAAATTTAACGTTGAAAAAAAAAAGTGCCAAAACCTTTCTGTTGTTGAAAAAGACCAGACGATTATTGTTATTATTATCATCATTTTTGAAAAATATTTTTTTGCAATTTTTTTTTACAAATTGATATTTTCACCCAACGAATATGTTATACAATAGTTGTCAGAGAATATTGCCGCCCCTAACTTTTTTATTAAAATGATTTGTTTTCCATATCCATTTTTAATATTATAAATATATATGCTTATAATTTAATAAATTATTGTTGAAAATTTCAAAATGACATTTGTTTTAAAAAAAAATCATGGCTATTTCCACAGATTCTTTTTTTTTATTATCTATGAATTGTTATGTAAATTTGAAATGATATATTTGTGGTTTTGTGTTTCATTCAGAAATTATTCATTTCTTACTTTATCTTTCCCCTACTAATTTTTGATATTTTATAAATTATCAATGCAATTTATTTAAAGCTGTATGAAGAAAATAGAGATTTAGGTGCGATAATTATCAACATATTTATTTGAATTCATTTATTAACATGCCGATCAAGTTTTTTTCCTGTCCTGATAATTGCTTTTTTTTTTTTTTTTCTGTCGTTTACTTTTTTTAGTTGTCGGTTTGGCCATTTTCATTTCATGATATTTTGTGAGTATATCAAACATGAAATATAAACGTTGAATTCATATATACATATTTATTTCTCTTTATACAATATTTTTTTTGTTAAATGTGAAGTATTTGCAGGGTATTCATAGGTCACTGATGTATTTCAATTTTTTTTAATATTTTTTTAAAAAAGATATAAAAAATATATGAACATGAATTATATAAATGTATTTATCAAGAGAATAAAATATATATATACATAAGGATTTATATATTTACATTATTCGGACTATTGTCCTCATCTTTATCGCCATATTTATTACAACGTTTCGGCCATTGTACGCTCCGGACTTCTTCAGGTGGTTGGAATGTCGAACTGAACACTTTATTTCGTTCACTGGGGTAGACTGTTCTAGTTCCACGTGCCATATTTAATGGATGTCAGTTATCTCCTGTTCATTTCCCTCTTTTCTCCACTGCCTTATTGTATTGAACTCACACTATTTGTGTCCTGTTACTGGATCTAATCAACGCCTTTATCCACTGTGCCATGCGTCCTTGAGGACATCGGTGTGTGAATTTCTGGGTCTTCTAAACCTAATGTATTCAGCAACCATTTTTACCAGTGCTCATATTGCAGTTTTTGCTATTATCATTACATGTTTTTACCAGAGCTCATATTGCAACTTTTGTTGTTATTATTGTTTTTCTGTGGCACTCCTTATTAATGATTCCCATATTGTATTCATTTCTATTCTTGGTCTGCTCAGGAGATTTTTGTGGCCTAGCATATGTGCTGATTCCTTAAGTTTACGAATTTTCCCATGGTGTCCCTTGTCTATGATCCCAACATGATATCACAGGGGGCGGTGATCTCCCTTCTCTCTCCATATGTGGTCAGCCACGCCTGATTTTTCTACTTCCCCTCGTGTTACAGCTTTCTGGTATTCTTGTAGCCTTACCTTAATGGGACGGCATGCTGCACGGGATAGCGTACACACAGTTTTTAGTCATGTTCTCCTCTGTCTTACTCGGAGAGATATCTGCGAAGTGTCGTCAAGGTTGTCCTGATGTTATATGGACCGCAGATTCTTTGTATTTTCTCTGATAACCCCTTCACATAAGGCAGGCAGACTGTTTTCTGGGTGTTGTTGTCCTCCTCTTGTACCCGCCTATCCCAGTTTTTTTTGCTGCTGCTATGTACCCAGGGTAGTTGTTACGTTGTAGGGTACTACTTATACTGACCAATTCTTCATCTGATATCTCTGGGTCGCCACTTATGTCTTTTGCTCGGTGTTGTAAGCAACGGACGATCCCTTTCTTTACGCTGTATGGATGGTAGGAGTTGAAATTGAGCTACTGTCCGGTGAATATCGGTTTACGGTATACGGATGTCTTGAACCCATACTCTGTTCGAGATATTAGAACATCCAGGAATGGGATTACTGATTAAAAATATGTCTATATTTCTGAGATGAGGTATTGTAATTATTTATACTATTTACATTGTCTGGCATGTTGTCCTCTCCTCACCTTTCAAGAGGTTTCGCCTGTTGCACGCCCCGGCCTTCTCCAGGATCTGCCTATATTTATGAGATGATGCATTGCAACTATTTACACTATTTGAATTGTTCGGGGTGTTTTCCACACCTTTATTGCCATATTTACGATTTTCGACCCATGTACACTCCGGCCTTCGTCAGGATCTGTTAACAATTCTCAGATTAGGTATTACTTTATTGCCATATTTACAATATTTCGGCCGTTGTGCGCTCTGGCATGTGGAACTACAACAATTTACCCCAGTGGACTAAATAAAGAAAAATATGATAAATATCACCTGAAGGATGTTGTTGCGTACAACGGCCGAAACGTCGTGAATATGACAACAAAGATGAGGACAACAGTTCAAAAATTGTAAATACTGTAAATAAGTAATTGATGTTAGTGTTTGCAAAAAAACATTTATCAAACAACTTATAAAAATGATGACAAAACTTAATTATGACAAATAGAATATCACACAAAGGTACCTAGACTGTATGACTTACCAAAATTACACAAATCCAGCTTTCAAATATGGTCAAATTTATTTGGTGTAGGCAACGCCCTTCAAACATTAACAAAAATTCTTCGCAAAATTGTTAACGCCTCTTTTCGAAAAAATTAGCCTAAAAATATCTGGCAAACTCATCAACGAATCGAAAACATGAATATAAAAAATAATGTCATCGCTAGCTTAAATAAAAAAATCCTTATATACTAGTTGAGAAATGTTTAAATTTTCTAAAAATACTATCTCACAAAACTAAATAAATAGAGCAATCTATTCCAATTTATTCTGTCTCTTTCATAGGGGTTCTTTTATTCTCTCTTTTATAGGTGCTCCTTTATTCTGCCTCTCTTATATGTGTTCTTTTATTCTGTCTCTTTTATAGGTGCTCTTTTATTCTGTCTCTTTCATAGGTGCTCCTTTTATTCTGTCTGTCTTATATGTATTTTTTTATTCTGTCTCTTTTTCATAGGTCTTTATTCTGCCTCTCTTATATGTATTCTTTATTATGTCTCTTTTAAAGGTGCTCTTTTTTATTCTGTCTCTTTCATAGGTGCTCCTTTATTCTGTCTGTCTTATATGTATTTTATTCTGTCTTTTCATAGGTGCTCCTTTATTCTGTCGTCTTATATGTATTTTTATTCTGTCTCTTTTATAGGTGCTCTTTTTCTTTCAAAGATTCCTTTATTCTGTCTGTCTTATAAATTCTTTTTATTCTGTCTCTTAAACTCCTTTATTCTGCCTTCTTATATGTATTCTTTTATTCTGTCTCTTTTATAGGTGGTCAATTTATTCTGCCTCTCTTATATGTATTCTTTTATTATGTCTCTTTTATAGGTGCCTTTTATTCTGAAAAACATTCTGTCTGTCTTATATGTATTCTTTATTATGTCTCTTTCATAGGTGTTCTTTATTCTGTCCGTCTTATATGTATTCTCTTTATTCTGTCTCTTTCATAGGTGTTCTCTTTAAAAAAAAATTCTTTTTCTGTCTCTTTTTAAGGTGCTTTTTTATTCTGTCTCTATATAGGTGCTCCTTTATTCTGTCTGTCTTATATGTATTCTTTTATTCTTCTTTCATAGGTGTTCCTTTATTCTGTCCGTCTTATATGTATTCTTTTATTCTGTCTCTTTTATAGGTGCTCTTTTATTCTGTCTCTTTTTCATAGGTGCTCCTTTATTCTGTTGTCTTATAATTTTTTTATTCTGTCTCTTTCATATCTCTTATATGTATATCTTTTATTCTGTCTCTTTTAAGGTGCTCTTTTATTCTGTCTCTTTCATAGGTGCTCAAAAAAGATTTATATGTATTCTTTTAAAAAGATTCCTTTATTCTGTCTGTCTTATATGTATTCTTTTATTCTGTCTCTTTTATAGGTGCTCTTTTATTCTGTCTTTTATAGGTGCTCCTTTATTCTGTCTGTCTTATATGTATTCTTTTATTCTGTCTCTTTCATAGGTGCTCCTTTATTCTGCCCGTCTTATATGTATTCTTTTATTCTGTCTCTTTCATAGGTGCTCCTTTATTCTGCCTCTCTTATATGTATTCTTTTATTATGTCTCTTTTATAGGTGCTCCTTTATTCTGCCTCTCTTATATGTGTTTTTTATTCTGTTTTTATAGGTGCTTTTTTATTCTGTCTCTTTCATAGGTGTTTTTTATTCTGTCTGTCTTATATGTATTCTTTTATTCTGTCTCTTTCATAGGTGCTCCTTTATTCTGTCTGTCTTATATGTATTCTTTTATTCTGTCTCTTTTATAGGTGCTCTTTTATTCTGTCTCTTTCATAGGTGCTCCTTTATTCTGTCTGTCTTATATGTATTCTTTTATTCTGTCTCTTTCATAGGTGCTCCTTTATTCTGCCTCTCTTATATGTATTCTTTTATTATGTCTCTTTTATAGGTGCTCTTTTATTCTGTCTCTTTCATAGGTGCTCCTTTATTCTGTCTGTCTTATATGTATTCTTTTATTCTGTCTCTTTCATAGGTGCTCCTTTATTCTGTCCGTCTTATATGTATTCTTTTATTCTGTCTCTTTTATAGGTGCTCTTTTTATTCTTCTTTCATAGGTGCCCTTTATTCTGTCTGTCTTATTATTTTTTTTATTCTCTTTTATAGGTGCTCCTTTTATTCTGCCTCTTTTTTTTTATTATGTCTCTTTTATAGGTGCTCTTTTATTATGTCTCTTTCATCTTTTATTCTGTCTGTCTTATATGTATTCTTTTTATTATGTCTCTTTCATAGGTGCTCCTTTATTCTGTCTGTCTTATATGTATTCTTTTATTCTGTCTCTTTCATAGGTGCTCCTTTATTCTGTCCGTCTTATATGTATTCTTTTATTCTGTCTCTTTTATAGGTGCTCTTTTATTCTGTCTCTTTCATAGGTGCTCCTTTATTCTGTCTGTCTTATATGTATTCTTTTATTCTGTCTCTTTTATAGGTGAACTTTTATTCTGTCTCTCTTATATGTGTTCTTTTATTCTGTCTCTTTTATAGGTGCTCTTTTATTCTGTCTCTTTCATAGGTGCTCCTTTATTCTGTCTGTCTTATATGTATTCTTTTATTCTGTCTCTTTCATAGGTGCTCCTTTATTCTGTCTGTCTTATATGTATTCTTTTTATTCTGTTTTTTATAGGTCTTTTCTTTTATAGGTGCTCCTTTATTCTGTCTGTTTATATGTATTCTTTTATTCTGTCTCTTTCATAGGTGCTCATTTATTCTGCCTGTCTTATATGTATTCTTTTTATTCTGTCTCTTTCATAGGTGCTCCTTTATTCTGTCCTCTTATATATTCTTTTATTATGTCTCTTTATAGTTCTTTTTATTCTGCCTCTCTTATATGTGTTTTATTCTGTCTCTTTTATAGGTGCTCTTTATTCTGTTCTTTCATAGGTTTTTAGTCTGTCTTATATGTATTCTTTATTCTGTTTCATTCATAGGTGCCTTTTTTCTGTCTCTTATGTCAAACTCTTTATTATTTTTTATTCTGTCTTTTCATAGGTGCCCTTTTATTCTGTCTTATATGTATTCTTTTATTCTGTCTTTCATAGGTGCTCTTTTTATTCTGCCTGTCTTATATGTATTTTTTATCATGTTCTTTTTATAGGTGATTTTTATTCTGTCCGTCTTATTGTATTCTTTTAGGTGCTCTTTTTTATATTCTGTCTGTCTTATATGTATTCTTTTATTCTGTCTCTCTTTCATAGGCTTTTATTCTGTCCGTCTTATATGTATTCTTTTTATTCTTCTGTGAACTTTTATAGGTGCTCTTTATTCTGTCTGTCTTTTATAGGTGCTCTTTATTTGTCTGTCTTATATGTATTTTTTATTCTGTCTCTTTCATAGGTGCTCCTTTTATTCTGCCTCTCTTTATATGTATTCTTTTTTATTATGTCTCTTTTATAGGTGCCTTTATTCTGTCTGTCTTATAAATTCTGTCTCTGATTTTATAGGTGCTTCATAAGAAATTTTTTTATTCTGTCTGTCTTATATGTATTCTTTATTCTTTTATTCTGTCTCTTTCTATAGGTGCTCCTTTATTCTGTCGTCTTATATGTATTCTTTTTATTCTGTCTCTTTTATAGGTGTCTTTTTATTCTGTCCTCTCTTATATGTGTTCTTTTTATTCTGTCTCTTTTTATAGGTGCTTTTTTATTCTGCCTCTTATATATATGTGTTCTTTTTATTCTGTCTCTTTTATAGGTGCCTTTATTTTATTCTGTCTATATGTATTCTTTTATTCTGTCTCTTTCATAGGTGCTCTTTTTATTCTGTCCGTCTTATATGTATTTTTTATTCTGTCTCTTTTATAGGTAAAATAGGTGCTCCTTTATTCTGTCTGTCTTATATGTATTCTTTATTCTGTCTCTTTTATAGGTGTTCTTTTTTCTGTCTGTCTTATATGTATTCTTTTTATTCTGTCTCTTTCATAGTTGCTCCTTTATTCTGTCTGTCTTATATGTATTCTTTTTATTCTGTCTCTTTTATAGGTGCTCTTTTTATTCTGTCTGTTCTTTCATAGGTGCTCTTTTTATTCTGTCTGTCTTATATGTATTCTTTTTTTATTCTGTCTCTTTATAGGTGCTCTTTTTATTCTGTTTTTTTTATAGGTGCTCCTTTATTCTGTCTGTCTTATATGTATTCTTTTATTCTGTCTCTTTCATAGGTGCTCCTTTATTCTGTCCGTCTTATATGTATTCTTTTATTCTGTCTCTTTCATAGGTGCTCCTTTATTCTGCCTCTCTTATATGTATTCTTTTATTATGTCTCTTTTATATGTGCTCTTTTTATTCTGTCTTTCATTATTTTTGCTCTCTTATATCTGTATTCTTTTATTATGTATTCTTTTTTATTATGTCTCTTTCATAGGTGCTCCTTTATTCTGTCTGTCTTATATGTATTCTTTTATTCTGTCTCTTTCATAGGTGCTCCTTTATTCTGTCTGTCTTATATGTATTCTTTTATTCTGTCTCTTTTATAGGTGCTCCTTTATTCTGTCTGTCTTATATGTATTCTTTTATTCTGTCTCTTTCATAGGTGCTCCTTTATTCTGTCCGTCTTATATGTATTCTTTTTTATTATGTCAAATTATTCTGTCTTTATAGGTATTCTTTATTCTGTCTTATAGGATGATTCTTATATATTCTTTCTATGTCTTTTATAGGTGCTTTTTTATTCTGTCCATCTTCATAGGTGCTCCTTTATTCTGTCTGTCTTAATGTTGTTATAAAGTTTTTATTCTGTCTCTTTCATAGGTGCCTTTTATTCTGTCTGTCTTATATGTATTCTTTTTATTATGTCTTTTTATAGGTGCTTTTTTTATTTGTCTCTTTCATAGGTAATTCCTTTATTCTGTCTGTCTTATATGTATTCTTTTATTCTGTCTCTTTTTATAGGTGCTCTTTTATTCTGTCTTTTCATAGGTGCTCCTTTATTCTGTCCGTCTTATATGTATTCTTTTATTCTGTCATCCTTATTCTGTCTGTCTTATATGTATATTTTATTATGTCTCTTTTATAGGTGCTCTTTTATTCTGTCTCTTGAATAGGTGCTCCTTTATTCTGTCTGTCTTATATGTATTCTTTATTCTGTCTCTTTTTATTCTGTCTCTTTCTTTTAGGTGTCTTTTATTTTGTCCGTTTATATGTATTCTTTTATTCTGTCTCTTTTTATTTTATTCTGCCTCCTTCTTATATGTGTTCTTTTATTCTGTCTCTTTATAGGTGCAACCTTTATTCTGTCTGTCTTATATGTATTCTTTTTTATTCTGTCTCTTTCATAGGTGCTCCTTTATTCTGTCCGTCTTTATTATTCTTTTATTCTGTCTCTTTTATGTATGCTCTTTTATTCTGTCTCTTTTATAGGTTTCCTTTATTCTGTCTGTTTTTATACCTTTTATTCTGTGGCTTTCATAGGTGCTCCTTTATTCTGTCCGTCTTATATGTATTCTTTTATTCTGTCTCTTTTATAGGTGATTCTGTCTGTCTTATATGTATTCTTTTATTCTGTGTCTCTTTTATTCTATTCTGTCTTTTTATAGGTGAACTTTTTATTCTAAAATAAATGTCTCTTTAAGGTGTTCTTTTATTCTGAATCTTATATGTATTCTTTTTTATTATGTCTCTTTATAGGTGTTTTTTATTTTTGTCTCTTTTATATAGGTGCTCCTTTATTCTGTCTGTCTTTATGTATTCTTTTTTATTCTGATAGGTGCCCTTTATTCATGTATTCTTTTATTTTTTTTTCCTTTAAAATAAATAGGTGCTCTTTTATTCTGTCTGTTTTTTATTCTGGTATTTACAAAAAAATGAAACATTTTTTTTAAAACTTTTATTCTGTCTCTTTTACAGGTGCTTATCGAAGGTGCTCTTTTATTACTATTTTATAGGTGCATGAATTCTGTCTCTTTTTAGGTGCTCTCTGTCTCTTTTATAGTGTTCTTATTCTATCTCTTTATAGGTGCAAACGAAAAATAGGTATTCTTTTTAAGGGTTCTTTTAAAAAACAAAAATGTCTCTTTTTAAGGAGTTTCCATTATTCTCTTTAGTTAGTTTTTATTCTGTCTTTTTTAGGTGATCTTTTAAACATGAATCAAAATCGTAAAATATTATATCGAATATTTTCAAACGAAACATTTTTATAAAAAAAAAACAAAATTTGTGTCTTCACTCCGTCTAGAAATTACTCTAGGACTTTTGAATTTGGGTCGAGGTGTCATCAATTTACGTCTGAGCTGAGATGTGACCGTAAATTTATGATAATGAATTTTCGCACGCTTTGGAACTTTTCTTGTTTATCGAAACATCTTTTAAACCGCAAAATTTAAATGCAATGCAATTTATAAATTCCTGTTTTTTTTTTTTTCCTCATTATTAAAAAATTTGAAATAAAATGGCTTTGCTTCCTTGGTTGATGCTGATTAAAAAAAAAAAAATGAAACAAAATCGAATCTACATGAATTGTATGAAAAAGAAACAATTTATAAAATAAAAAAAAAAAACAAAAAAATGAAAAAAAATCGAATCTACACATGAATTCACGTATGAGAAACGAAAAATTTATAAAATCCTCCAAAAATGAAACAAAATCAAATCTACACATGAATTCACGTATGAGAAACGAAACAATTTATAAAATAAAAAAAAAAAAATGAAACAAAAATCGAATCTGACATGAATTCACGTATGAGAAACGAAACAATTTATAAAAAAAAAAAAAAAAATGAAAAACAAAATCGAATCTACACATGAATTCACGTATGAGAAAAAAACAAAAAAATAAAAAAACAAAAATGAAACAAAAATCGAATTTGATAAAATGTAAAAAAAGAAAAATTTATAAAATAAAAAAAAACAAAATCGAATACATGAATTCGTATGAGAAAAGAATTTTAAAAAAACAAAAATTGAAATAAAATCGAATCCAACACATGAAAACGTATGAAACAATTTATAAAATAAAAAAAAAAAAAAAAATGAAACAAAATCGAATCTACACATGAATTCACGTATAAGAAAAGAAACAATTTATTAAAATAAAAAAAACAAAAAAATGAAACAAAATCGAATCTACACATGAATTCACGTATGAGAAAAGAAACAATTCATAAAATAAAAAAAATGAAACAAAATCGAATCTACACATGAAATCACGTATGAGAAAAGAAACAATTTATAAAATAGAAAAAAACAAAAAATGAAACAAAATCGAATCTACACATGAATTCACGTATGAGAAAAGAAACAATTTATAAAAAAAAAACAAAAAAATGAAGCAAAATCGAATCTACATATGAATTCACGTATGAGAAAAGAAACAATTTATAGAATATTAATATAAAAATGATTAATGTTACATATTAAAGAAAATTGAAAGTATAAAACAGAGTTAATATTGCGTCAGATGTAGGTATCTACCAAAGGTAAATATTGCTCCCACCCAAATACATTGGCGTGACATATCAAGAATTAAAGAAAGGAATATACGAACATGAAAGGGACTTTAAATTAAACAACATACTCAGTGCATTTGTGTGCCCACAAAAAAAAAAACAACTTCGTGATCAAAATTTGGAAGAGGAAAACGCCCTTTTAATAATAAAAAATACAATAAATGACCTATGTACATATGTGTCACTTGCAATGAATATGATTTAGTTTACTCCCAGTTTCTGTGAAACAATGTAGCGTAATTATGGTTCATGTCAGATTAACAAAGTTAAGCAAAGTCGAGCCTGTTCAGTACCTAGATGAGTTAACGTTTGGGAATTACAGTACGCTTGAATCTGCGATGTGCCGGTGGTGTAATAGATGACAGATCCTAATGAGGAATTGGAGAGCCGTGTTCAAATTCTAGTCACGTTTGATACGTTCATTTGCGTGCAAAAACTCTTGGGAGATCATGAATCAAAAGATCATGTGTCACAGCCGCCCCCAACCAACACGAATTGAATCAAAGCAGGAAGGTAAGGCTCCACACATCTCCAAGGAATCTGAGAAAGGCCTACGTTCAACAAAAGACATTCATAGGCTGAAATTCAGATACAGGGATACGTAAATATACTTGTCTATATTTCTGAGAAGAGGTATAATGTACACAGTTTACAGTATTCGGACTATTGTCCTCATCCTTGTCGCCATATTTATTACAACGTTTCGGCCTTTCAGTATCCTTCTATACTTAGATGAGTTATTATGTATACTATTTACATTATTCAGACTATTGTCCTCATCTTTGTTGCCAAATTTATTACATTGTTTCGGCCCTTCAGTATCAGTTTATATTTCTGAGATGAGGTAATATGTACCCTAGTTACATTATTAGGACTATTATCCTCATCTTTGTTGACATATTTATCACAATATTTCGGTCTTTCAGTATCTGTCTATATTTCTGAGATGAGGTATTATAAACACTATTTAAAATATTCAGACTAATGTCGTCATGTTTGTTGCCATACTTATCACAACGTTTCAGCCTTTCAGTATCTCTATATTTCTGAGATGAGGTATTATGTACAATATTTTAATTATTTGGACTATTCTCCTCATTTTTGTCGCCATATTTATCACAAAGTTTCGGCCTTTCAGTATCTGTCTATATTTCTGAGATGAGGTATCATGTAAAATATTTACATTATTGGGACTATTGTCCTCATCTTTATTGCCATATTTATAACAATGTTTCGCCCTTTCAGTATCTGTCTATATTTCTGAGATGAGGCATTATTTACACTATTTACATTATTTGAACTAATGTCCTCATCTTTTTCACCCTATTTATCACAACGTTTATGACTTTCAGTATCTGTCTATATTTCTGAAATGAGGTATTATGCAAAATATTTACATCATTCGGAATATTGTCCTCATCTTTGTTAAAATATTTATTACAATGTTTCGGCCATGCAGTACCTGTCTATATTTCTGGGATGAGGTATTATGTACACTATTTACATTATTCTGACTATTGTCCTCATCTTTGTTGCCATATTTATCACAACGTTTAGGCCTTTCAGTATCTGTCTATATTTCTGAGATGAGGTATTATGTACACTATTTACATTATTCGGACGATTGTCCTCATCTTTGTCGCCATATTTATTACAACGTTACGGCCTTTCAGTATCCTTCTATATTACTTAGATGAGGTATTATGTACACTATTTACATTATTCCGACTATTGTCCTCACCTTTCTTGCCATATTTATCACAACGTTTCGGCCTTCAGTATCTGTCTATATTTCTGAGATGAGGTATTATGTACGGTATTTACATTATTCGGACTATTGTCATCATATTCATTGTCATATTTATTACAATGTTTCGGCCCTTCAATATCTGTGTATATTTCTGAGATGAGGTATTATGTACCCTATTTACATTATTTGGACTAATGTCCTCATCTTAGTTGATATATTCATTACAACTTATCGGCCTTTCAGTATGTTATGGTCCGGTTCCTTGTACCACGGTGATAGTCCAAGGTAGAACCAATAAAGAAGAACTCGAACACGTATATGGAATAACACAGATATATTACAAACAGGAATATATATATAGAGAAGTAGAAAGGGTTAGTACGAACAATCAGATTTAGTAGGGAGAACAATGTAGTCTCGATCGGTATTACTATTCCAATGTCTTTTAGTAATTGTCTGAACGCGACTCTGTTCGGACTGCCTCTGTCTCGACTGACTGACTCGCTCTGACTGACTGACAGACTCCTGACGGACTTCACTCTCTGCTTCCTCTTGGGGCGCAGTATTTATTACGTATGGAATAGTCCATTATGTTATTATGGGTAAGGTCCCATAACATTTGAATTCCGAAAATTTTGATTAGCAGGGTTTATTTTAATATCTTTTTTTCTTTGGATCTATTTCCAAAGGTTCAGTAAATTTTCTATTTCTAGACGATTTTCTTGGTTCTGGCATTATTTTCGGTCTTGTTATATCGAATATGTCGAAAATCGTGTCCAATACCGGTTTTCTTGATGTGGATCTAGAGCATCCTGTAACGGTCTCTTCCTTATTTGGTTTACGTGTTTCTGATGATTTTTTTTTATAGAACTATGTACATCATATTGCCAATTCTTTTTCTCAATGATCCCTTGTTCCCAGCAAGAGGTATTATTTTTGTATGCCTTAAAAAACTTTTTCCTCTGGGGAGGAATTTTCTTTTTTGTGTGTAGAACTGTGTTACTTGTTTTGTTTTACTTGGTAGTAATTTATCGAACGCTGATCTGATTTTTCCTCGCAAACATGATATCTGCTGGTGATAAAATGATGGTGTCGCATTATTTGGCGGTATTCTATATACCTGTAAGAATTGCTGTAATGCTTTCTCCGTAGGCTCAACATCGTACGCTTTTCGTAATGCTCTTTTGAGAGATTTATCCACGAATTCCGCTTGTCCATTTGATCTTGGATGGTAAGGCGGGAATTTTATATGTTTTCGTTGATAGATTTCGCAAAACTCTTTGAAATCTGCTGACGTGACTTGCGTTCCGTTATTGTTACTAAACAGTCCACTACGCCAAATCGAGCGAATAGCTCGTGGAGGAAATTTATAAACGTTTCTGTAGTTAGGATTTTTTTTTTGAAAAGGTTCTCCGGCCATTTACTGTAGCTATCAACTATGATTAAATAGTAGAACCCGTCAATTAAGTTCCTGCATAATCTGCGTGTATTCTTGACCATGGATGATCAGTTTCAGGTCAAGGCTTATTTATGATTGGCGGTGCTTTAGCTGCTAAATTATGGATTGCACATTTCCACCATTTGAGAAATATCCTGGTCCATATTCTTCCAATATACATAGCTTCGCATTAGCGACTTTAATTCTATTTTTTACCAGGGGTGTGAAGGAAAATAATTTAGTATTCGTTTTTGTAAAGTTTTTGGGGATTAAGAAAGTCTTCGTTGTAAAGTAGCACATTATCCCATAGAGAAAAGCTGTCCGAAATTTTCTCATTTTTTTTGCTATTGGGCATTTTTGTTTCATTAATAAATTCGTCATTTTGGCTTCATTTTTTATGTCTTGGTT